CTTTTGACATTTATGGAGACTTCCGGTTCTATTTAGTTTGTGCACTGACGATTTGCCCGGCACAGATTTTGAGAGACTCCCAAACGCTTTAGAGATGACGTTTTGTCAAGGGAAAGGTATGCAATGAACTGAGAGCGACAAACTAATCATACACAATGAACATATGGGGTACCTGTAAAGTGCGAAACGAAATAGAAACGAAACGAAACGAAACGAAATATGCCGAAACGAAACGAAATCTACCGAAACGAAACGAAATCAAGACGAAACGAAACGAAATTAAAACGAAACCTGCTGAAACGAAACGAAACTATCAAATTTTTTTTTTTTCAAATCAAGGTACATGTATATAATTATATATGTGTAACTGCATGTGGACTTTTTTTTTACTTCAAACAGAATTTATATATTCATGCACTTCATAAGAGAAAATTTAATTACCGGTATTTTATGCTCCCTTCTCAGTCTAATGATGTATTTATATGTTTGCCAGCCGCAAATATGCACGAGCATACTATGCATGTACAATTTCAATATGTGAGTATTTTATAATTTTTACATCTTACTCTTATTTTCAGTCCTTATTTATCTAGATACAACATATCTATCCAAATTGATGTGTTACATGTACGTAAAGTCTCGTTTATGAACGGTTCGAAATAAAGTCACTAAATACTGTTGTATTGCGAATGTCTTAAAACATAGGATAAACCAGAGACTTAGAGTATTTAGTATTCCATTCCGAGGTGTCTGGTTTTATTGTTCAATTATACATCTAACACCAACCGGAATCTTGTGTATCATTTCTACGTACATAAGGTCCTATTTTTATCGAGGTAATTTTCGAGGAAGAATTTGCAATAAAGAGGCTCGACCAGAGACGTCTAAAACGATTTAACTGACAAGAAGAAAGTCTCTCGAAGCGAACAATGTCATTTTTAAGTAGGTAAATTATTCAGTAAGATATTAAAAAAAATATGACATAGGCGTCGGAAGCGGGGAGGGGGGGGTAGCCCTCCCCCCCCCCCCAATTTTTTGCAAATTTTTATATTATATTGGCATTTAAAATTGGGGTTTACCTTTTTTGTTTATTAAGCCCCCCCCCCCCCCCCCACCACTTTCAATTTCCTTCGGACGTCTATGTATGTTGAAGCGAAACAATTGCCTGTGGTGCTTGAACTATATAAATTTCATATGAAGTAAAATTAGACCATATAAACATTCTGAAAGTTTCGTTTCGGCAGGTTTCGTTTTGATTCCGTTTCGTTTCGTCTTGATTTCGTTTCGTTTCGGTAGGTTTCGTTTCGTTTCGGTAGATTTCGTTTCGTTTCAGTTCGTTTCGTTTCATTTCTATTTCGTTTCGCACTTTACAGGTACCCGAACATATGGCATGATAATGAAGTAACCTATAAAAAGATGTATGCCTTTTTAAATAAAAGGACAACAGGGTTTAGACACAGGCACCTGAAGTGTGGATAATACCCCCCTCCTTTTTAATGAAAAAAATGTAAGAGTGTATAATATCTCAAATTTACAAAATTTCCCCGTCAAACACATCTATATCTCGTTCTATGCAAGCATAATTTACTTTTTCTTACGTTTAAAGAATGGCCCTATTCGGTTTAATAAAAATACACAAGGTAAGAAACAAAATTTGTAAGCAAACGGGGGGTTCCCCGCTTCGAGACAGAGTTTCAAGGTAATACATTGTTACCCATCATACTTTTGCAAGCATTCTGTCAAGGAGATGTTCTTCTACTGAGCTATTTAACCTAAACCCCGCCATTAATGTTTAATATGCCGTAATCGGACGATTTATTAATCGGACACGTAAAATTTTCTCCATTGGCAGCTTTGGATCAGGTTTTGGAGTCGCAATTCTGTTTCGCCTTATCTGATTGGTTATATATTTAAACTGCATTACAACTAGTGCTAATTGTAACGGGGACCGTTACAGATGTTCCCAAACGCTCCCCAACTCCCTGTTGGTGCCATATTCCCTGTAAGCTTCATTAAACAACCTCTATGCATCTGAGATTTTAACAACATTAACAAAGAAGTGTACAAAAATCATTTAAACTTTAGCATTGCACGCGTGCACATGTGAATGCATTTGCGTCATGACCATATCATCTTGTCTACACAATCTATTTTTTTTAATTATTTTTAATTTTTAATATACTGAATATTAAAGTATTTAATCCAAAATTATTTAAAAAATACGCTCATTCAAGTGTATGTTTGATTTTACTCATTTCACGTGCACGCACGTGCATACATGAGCATGGTGACCATACCTTCTTGTAGAAGTCCATTACATCTATCTATGTTCTAAATTCCACCCCGTTTGCGTGAAAACTAAGGGAGTTATAGCTGTTTAAAGTTTCAGCCAATCAGATTGCAGCACATGTACACGCACGTGTATGCATGTGCATGGTGACCATACCTACTTGTAGAAGTCCATTATATCTATCTATGTTCCAAATCCAATCCTGTTTGGTTGAAAACCAAGGGAGTTATAGCTGTTTAAAGTTTCAGCCAATCAGATTGCAGCGCACGTGCATTCACGTGTTTTCATGATAATTGCTTTATTTCATGTTGTAGGATATCCTAATGCATGGCTATGTTCAAAATTTCAAAGGATTTCGTCAAAAAACAAGAAAGATATTGAGACTTTAGTTGCAGCCAATCAGAGCGAAGTGCACGTGCATGCGCGTGAGATCTTGCTATTTTCACCATGTCGTCATGTCTATACTACTAATATATCCTCACATTATGAGTTTCAAAGCATTTCATTTAAAAATAGAACAGTTGTGGCTATATCTATTATATTGGTCATTTCACGTGTTGCACGTGCACGCTCTTGCAAGCACGTGCGCGCAAAATGACCTTGATTCCGCAAATCTACATAACATGTCTACTAACCCTAAAAAGGTTTTACCTACATCGGACGAACAGTTTACAAGATCATTCCCGGACAAAAAAGTTCCAGGAAGAAGAAGAAAAATAATAATAATAATAATAATAATAATAATAATAAGAAACAGAGTAAAAACAATATGTTCCCCAACTTCGTTTGGGGAACATAATTAACCACCCTTACAGTTTTTTCATTAAAAAAAGAGGGGGGGGGTCGTTATTATCCACACTTCAGGTGCCTGTGGGTTTAGAGGTTTATGTTGAATAATAACAGGTGCTGGTATGGCTAGACACTTTAAGGTTATTTTATACTTTCATACTAATCAACCAATTGCCACATCGTTTACAGAGTCTGTGGTTGAAAGTTGAAAGTCTGCACACTTTGTGATACATTTAATTTATTTTATTGTGTATGTACAAATATTTATGAATATTGTGCGTTTCTAGTTTTGCTCAATCATATCTGTCCAGTTCATTGACAAATAGTAAAAAGACTTGCCTAAGATTTTGAGTCCCGATCGAAAGGAAAGATAACTCTAAAAAGAAACTTGAAACCACAACTTTTGATAATACTTTTTCCACATCAGTGTATTTGATATTAATTCAATTTTTTATTGTAATTTAATTCAATAATGTTTCTTCTATACAACAGGAGTCTTTCTCTTTTTTTTCTAGATGTACTTTAGAGAAGATGGGTTTTATTTACTTTGAATAAATTAAATTCTCAAAAAATGAACGTTAGAGAAGATGGGTTTTATTTATTTTTAATAAATTAAATTCTCAAAAAATATATTGACCAATAAAAATAAGTTTTTGTAGCCATTTTGTGAGACTAATGATATACCGTAGGAAAATACAGCAGTTGTTATGTTACCTATAAAAACTAATTGGAAAAAAGTCTTGAAACTTCTGAAATTATTTTTAAATAATTCTTACATTCATTCCGGGGTACTTGAGACCATGGTAACTATGGAAACTTATTCAACTTTTCTGCGCATGCGTACAATATGGAGGAAGCTGTATTTAGCAATATTTTCGTTATGGGGCATACTGAAATTTTTTATACTTTTATTTTTCTCCATAAAAATAGAATTTTAGGTTCTGAAATCTAAATAAATACGTTTAGGAGTTGAACAAAATTCACAGGGATCATGCAAAAATTCTACATTTGTCAATTTTCCCATTTGTGCGTTACGGTGTCTCTTTAATTCCTGGACGATTCTTTTAAGGGTTAATATTCTTGTAAAAAAGTAATGCTCAGAAATAAAGGAAAATAAGTTTGATGTGTTTGGAAGATCCTTAATATCCAAGAGCTGGGGAGAAGATTTTCAAACAACTAATGTATTTTCACTATGGACTATTAATCATTAGACTCCCGCCTTAACACCAGAACCCCTGACTTTGAGGCCATGAAATTCATAACTTTGGAGGAGACGACCTTCCTAATCATAGCTATGCATTTAGTTTGTTTTCATAATACCCAGGAACCGAAGAAAAGATTTTCAATGAATTATTGCATTTTCCCTACTTGTTGCACTAATTTAGTAGATTTTTGCTTCACCAGGGTCCCAGGAGATTAGGGAACATGAAAATTGCAATTTTCACTTCAATCCCCTTCACCAATAGAGGCAATATTTAAAAAAAAACTGGTAGTAATAAGTTCTGTGGTTCAAAGAAGGAGCTATAAATGTTAATTAAATGTTAAAACACAACGGACAACGCAGAACAGACTTTGCACGACACATGACGAAGGACGATAACAGAAATCAAAAGGTCACCTGAATTTACTGCGGTGATCTAATAAATTTTGAGAGATTACGACAGGGGGCGTCAACAGAAAAATGAACACTCTAAAACATGCATGAAACTTTGTTTAGAAAAAAAGTAACTTTTTTTATTGTTCATGTAAACCGTCATGAAAGATCTGAACTTGATTTAACCACTTTGGATTGGTATTTCTTTTTTTTCTCTTCATGTCAACTCATTGATTGACAATGACATATTTAATCCGAATACTGTAACAAGCGTGGGAAGATAGTACACAATGTATTTCTTAAATGCATATACATAGTATAACTTACAGAGCACATTGACATTCATGGACTGACTGTTTGATCCCGCGCCTCCAATGCTGTAACTGTTTTGTGCTGTACATGTGTAGGTACCAGCCATGTTTCTCTGTATTCTCTGTATCCGCAGTACAGCACCATTCTGTCTAAATCCAGAGTCACCTGTCTTAGTCCAGTAGACATTGGTTTGGGAAGGATTTCCATTGGTGACAGAACACGTGACAGATAGGTCATCTCCTTCTATAATGTCTTTATCTGTCAAACTGGACACAGACGGGGGATCTATAAAGTAAAGAATATTTTTTTTAATTTTTAGACTTGAACAAAATTTATCACTTGACAAAAAGCAAGTCCTGGTTTGTTTTTTTTTTAAACAAAAACCTGTGAACAAAACATGACCGGGACTCCGGTATATCCAGAGGTGGATTAAGGTGCCTTGGAAGAGTTAGCATCTCGTGGTGATTAGTTACATCCGAAATACAACGTATACATAAAGTTCATAGAAAACAAAAACATATGTCCTACAATTCATGGCAGAGAATCTACCCACAAAAGATCAGAACAAATTTCTCCTACATTTTTTGATTGGTCTGATTTTAATATAACTTGGCACACAAGCTGACTACACTAATTAAGATACAAAATTCTTTTCATAGGTTTGCAATTGCATGCACAAAAGTACACGTTACAAAAATCAAGGCAAAGGGAAAATAAAGGAAAATGTAATAAACAGAAAATTCAATGTTTTGTATTTGAATACTGTAGACGTCTTTAATTTCACGTGTCTAAAATTTCACGGTTTGTTAGAAAGTAACCTTTCACGGTGGTTTTAATTTCACGGAGAATCGTTTGTAAATAGTCAGGTACTATGACTGTTTCTAGATAGAAATGACGTGAAATAATTATCGCGATGGCTTAAAGTTCGCGTAAAATTCTTAAATCGTGAACATAGTGAAATTAAAAACACCGTAATGTTTTCCACTTCTACAGTATGGAATTTATTTCACTCGTGAGACAGGTTTTTTTTTTATATTTTCACTTGTGCTTCGCACGCATAAAAATATTAAAAAAATCATGTCACACTCGTGAAATAAATTCCATATTCAAATACAAATCATTGAATATTCTCTATTTATTTTACACACTTACAGAACACATTGATGGTCATAGACTGACTGTTTGACCCTGTGCCTCCAATGCTGTAACTGTTTTGTGCTGTACACGTGTAGGTACCAGCACTGCTTCTCTGTATTCTCTGTATCCGTAGTACAGCACCATTCTGTCTAAATCCAGAGTCACCTGTCTTGGTCCAGTAGACAGTGGTTTGAGTAGGATTTCCATTGGTGACAGAACACGTGACAGATAGGTCATCTCCTTCTATAACGTCTTTATCTGTCAAACTGAACACAGTTGGAGGATCTTTAATTGAAAGATATATGAAACATTTTTACAAATTCTTTTCAAATCAAGATGCACAATTGTTTTACCAATCACTTGAGTATAATAAAACACTTTAAAAGATTCACTGGAGATTAACAAATAAAAATCAGAAACAAAGATCTGGGCCCGGGATCATGAAGCATCTTAAGCTTAAGTCAGAAAATGCCTTAGATGCTGATATTTTTTAGAGGCCAAGCAGCCCAAAATGAAAATGCTTTCCGATTTTGTATCATCAGCCTGCTGTTGCATGCAAATTATGAGTTTCCTTCAAGAAGGTTTAAAGATTTTATAGATAATTGAAATTTTGACTTAAGTCTAAGTTTGTTTCATGATCCCGGGGCCTGGTATCCAAAAGCAATAGAGATAAAATGTTCAAAATTCAGCAAAGTAGTTAATTTAGTTCTCAGCAATATTGCAAGTTTTTTTTAAAAAGTCTAACGGATCTGCATAAGAAATTATTTAGACGATACACCAATTTTCAAGATTTCTTTTAAAATTATTTCCTATTCCAAGAAAGTATGAGTTCATATCAGCTTAAACAAATGCTAGAATCGGACAAAGTCACATAGTCATTTGGAACAGGATTTAAATAAGGTAGAATGTATACTAAGATAGAACACAACTCTACTTTTCAAATGCATACAATTGGTAAATAATAACTTACACAACACATTGACAGTCATAGACTGACTGTTTGATCCCGTGCCTCCAATGCTGTAACTGTTTTGTGCTGTACACGTGTAGGTACCAGCACTGCTTCTCTGTATTCTCTGTATCCGTAGTTCAGCACCATTCTGTCTAAATCCAGAGTCACCTGTCTTGGTCCAGTAGACAGTGGTTTTGGAAGGATTTCCATTGGTGACAGAACACGTGACAGATAGGTCATCTCCTTCTATAATGTCTTTATCTGTCAAACTGAACACAGTCGGAGGATCTATAATGGAAATTGTGGATAAAATTTCAAAAGTTTATATTGAATATAATGCATCTTTTATCATCGATAAGGAAGGCTTGTTTTGCAAGTTGCAATTTTCTTTTAGAGAAGATACTATAGTATAACATATGTTTTCCTAATACTCATTAGGTTAAATGGATTTCAAGTCTGATTTCAAATACATGTATATCCAACAAAATCATAATGAAATAGCTGAAGTTAAGTTAGATATCAAAGGCATCCAAAGATGCAAAATGGCTCACTTAACTCGAATTAATAATGAGATAATATGCTTTAATAATACACTTACAGAACACGTTGATGGTCATAGACTGACTGTTTGATCCCGTGCCTCCAGTGCTGTAACTGTTTTGTGCTGTACACGTGTAGGTACCAGCACTGCCTCTCTGTATTCTCTGTATCCGTAGTTCAGCACCATTCTGTCTAAATCCAGAGTCATCTGTCTTGGTCCAGTAGACATTGGTTTGGGAAGGATTTCCATTGGTGACAGAACATGTGACAGATAGGTCATCTCCTTCTATAATGTCTTTATTTGTCAAACTGGACACAGTCGGAGGATCTATAACCAATAATCCAAAATAGTTCAAATTTATTTCGTCTGATCATTATACATGTATCAATATTATGGGTAAAATAAACTCTTTGAAATGAATCATAATACAACAAAGTTCTTTTAGTTTCTTTTATTTTATTTATAATAAATGATTCAAATGATGATTTCTTAATTTTATCTTCTTTGGTCATTGCTGAGATCAAGAAAAATGTCAGCCATTTTTCTCTATTAAATCAAACATAAGATCATCAAAAGGCCCAAGGGTCTTAACAGTCACCTGGGTTTAATATAATAATGTAAAGGTTCTATAGATATATAGAACAAAATTAACTGATAAATGAATCTATGTTGCAAAAGAATTTCAAAAATCTTGCCATCAAAATATGGCTTAAATATTGCCAACTCGGTGTCAAACAGTAATCAATTAATCAATCGAAAATCTGGTCTAAATACTCTTTGCTTATTGTAAGGTTCAAAACCCAATTGATCTCTTTTTGATCACACTTGATTTGATCAAGTCTTACAAAGATGAAAAATGAATGCAAAATACAATTAATACACTTATTGTTCATAGAACAATTAGAGGTCTTTCCACTTTTTTAAAAGAATTATATTCGGTATATTGCATATCTTTGCCCCCACAAAAATTAAATTTTGAAAAATTCTTAAAATGTGTTGTATTGTATAAATTGTATGAAAAATATAGATTAACAAAACATATTATAGTTTCAAAGTAGGTTGTTGACAATTTTTTTTTATTTATGACGTCACAAACTCGTCGGATTTTGCATTATTTTTCAGAAAGAGGACAAAATGGACAAAATTTCAACAATCTTATTTATAGAATTTATAGAGCGCATGTCTGTTCAGGAACAATATTTGCATATTTAATTGATATTATTATTCTACACATTATATCAAAATACTACGCCTGAACACACCTGCGCTCGGTAATTTTTACTCAAAATATTGACGCAATTTTTACATTTTTCTATAGAAATCATGGAGATTTTAGATTTACGTCATTTTCCTGACGTCATTTCAAACATATGACGTCATTGCTGACGAAAACATTCAGTGCTTTGAAGTCAGCATGAATCCCCCTGTTTTAAAACATAATTTAATTTTACTCCGTGAAAGTTTGATTTTGGGGGCAAATATTTGTAAGTTCTTTGTTGCATTTCAACTATTTTACTTTCTAAAATTAATTTTTAAGCAAAAATAATTCAAAAATGACTCAAAAAATAGAAAAACCTATTGCTGAGCTTGTTGCAAAGCAACAAATATGTCTTTCGTCTAATTTTCAGAAGCACTGCTTGTAAAATAGGTAAATATAATATTTATTGAAGAATAAAACCTTCAAACCAAAAATTAGGTCTATCTGTATTTAGAACTAAAATTATTGAAATCAATGTTGATTTTTGTAAACCAAGCAATTTTATACAACTTCCGGTTTGATATGAACTGATTCTAATCTGCAGAAAATTAGGCCGGAAGACTCCTATGAAGTAACTAATATGATTTGTTACTTAATATTTGCAAAAATGAATCATATATGGTTACTTCTGGTTAAACCGGAAGTTGTTGAAATTGACATTAAGCTACAAAAATAAGGTTGGACGTACTCTGTGACATGTGTTACTCAATTCAATACCACAATCTGTGAAAATAAGCAATTTTGGACTACTTCGTGTTTGGCCGGAAGTGACGTCAACGGACGTATTTTGACGACCCCACTAGTCGTTTTGAACAACCTTGCTGCTTTGATATGTTACAAATTCTCAAAACTGTATGAGATATCAGGAAAATTTTTTGCCCCACTAACTCCATTATTTTATGGGCCAACCCTTTTTCCTGGATATCAATTAAACGATCTTGGAATTCTACACTCCTTTTGTTTTATATGTTTTTCCCAAAATTTTATAGGTAAAAAGATATTGTTGAAAAGATGTTAGAAAATTGGAATTCGCGATAGGACTATTTACGAACTGTAGCGAGTGTCGGTACTTCATACTTTCGGCGGCAATTATATACAAAATTCACTTCTCCAAATTCTAGCATCACTGAAAATTTTATACTTGTGTATACAGTGCTTTTTGAGAAAACTGCCGGACAAAGTGACCCTCTGAAAACACCAAATTGCAGAAAACTCCGAATGGGATGTGACGTCGTAGAATTAAATATACATAAATCTAGATTTTTTGATGTTATATATGATTTATAAATATTAAATTTTACGAAACTTTCACAGAATCATTATTACATATTACCATTGTGCAGCTCCAATTTCACTTCCTGATCCACCATTATATTCATATGGGTGGCGGGGTATTATTTAGTGAGCAACTTGCTCACAATACCTCTAGTTTGAAAATAAAATGAGTAATGACGTCTCAAATGATACTTTGAATAAATTCTCCCAATCTATGTTGATTATTGCAAAAGCAAGCTTTTTGGCTACTTTAGGTCCAACCGGAAGTGCTGTCAATGTACGGAAAAATACTTTTTTTGCTTCCAGAGACAGATATTACCCAAGAACGCGTCAATAATGGCAAAAATATGCATATTCTAATTACATCCGGTTTGGCCGGAAGTAACGTCAATGAACGTATTTTGATTATCTCTTTAGATACTACTTGACATTTAAAACAACTTTGCTTGTATAATAGCAATGTGAGCCGCATTTTTGAAAATTTTATTTTGCTTTTAACATATGTTACTGTGGTTTCATCAATATTCGTTGAGCACCAATTTTCGTGGATTTCATTGTTGAGCAGATCAACGAATTCAAATGTTCATCGAATTACGAAATATGACACTTGTATATGAAATGCTTTTCCACGAAATTACGTATCCTCGAAACTGGCTGTTTTACAAAATCCACGAAAATTGATGCTAACAAAATTGATGAAACCACAGTATTATGATAAATTTTATGCAACCTAAGCTTTTATGATCAATTGGAATAAAACAAATCAGACGAAAGACTTATATACATATGCATGTACAATCCAATATACGGTATTATACAAGAAATCATCATTGTACAGGACGACAATAAAGTAGTTTTGATTCAATTGAAGCTTATAAATTGTTCTTCCCCATGGGGATCCGGGTTAGAATAGGTCCTCAGTACCCCTTTGCTTGTTGTAAAAGGCGACTAAATGGGGCGGTCCTTCGGATGAGACCGTATAAACCGAGGCCCCGTGTCACAGCAGGTGTCCCACGATAAAGATCCCTCCCTGCTCAAAGCCCGTAAGTACCGAACATAGGCCTAAATTTGCATCCCTTCACCGGCAATGGTGACGTCTCCATATCAGTGAAATATTCTGGAGAGGGACGCCGAACATATACAATCAATCATTCAATCCATCGCAAATATAAACTACAGAAGTTTATTAAAAGTTTTTTTTCTGTCATTGGAATAGTAATTTACAATTTTGCAACAGAAAAATTCTGACATCAAAGTTGCAGCTCATATTGCTTTAATATATAACAAATTCTCAAGAGGTTTAAAGATATCACTTTTAGTCCCATTTCTAGAAAAAAAAAAAAAACTTCTAGCCCAACTAGATCACTTATTTTAGGGATCAATCCTTCTTTTTAGATACAATTTGAAAGACCTCAGAATTCTGTACTTCTTTTTATTTTCTATACGTTTTAACAAAATATTTCCAGGTAAAAAAGTATCTTCGAAAAAGTGTAAGAAATTTTAAAATTCGCGA